AAGCCCAAGCCTAAGCCTAAGCCTAAGCCTAAGCCTAAGCCTAAGCCTAAGCCTAAGCCTAAGCCTAAGCCTAAGCCTAAGCCTCAGCCTAAGCCTAAGCCTAAGCCTAAGCCTAAGCCTAAGCCTAAGCCTAAGCCTAAGCCTAAGCCTAAGCCTAAGCCCAAGCCTAAGCCTAAGCCTAAGCCTAAGCCTAAGCCTAAGCCTAAGCCTAAGCCTAAGCCTAAGCCTAAGCCTAAGCCTAAGCCTAAGCCTAAGCCTAAGCCTAAGCCTAAGCCTAAGCCTAAGCCTAAGCCTAAGCCTAAGCCTAAGCCTAAGCCTAAGCCTAAGCCTAAGCCTAAGCCTAAGCCTAAGCCTAAGCCTAAGCCTAAGCCTACAAGCCCAAGCCTAAGCCTAAGCCTAAGCCTAAGCCTGCTGCCTAAGCTCAAGCCTAAGCCCAAGCCTAAGCCCAAGCCTAAGCCTAAGCCCAAGCCTAAGCCTAAGCCTAAGCCTAAGCCTAAGCCTAAGCCTAAGCCTAAGCCTAAGCCCAAGCCTAAGCCTAAGCCTAAGCCTAAGCCCAAGCCTAAGCCTAAGCCTAAGCCTAAGCCCTAAGCCTAAGCCTAAGCCTAAGCCTAAGCCTAAGCCTAAGCCTAAGCCTAAGCCTAAGCCTAAGCCTAAGCCTAAGCCTAAGCCTGCCTAAGCCTAAGCCTAAGCCTAAGCCTAAGCCTAAGCCTAAGCCTAAGCCTAAGCCTAAGCCTAAGCCTAAGCTCAAGCCTGCTTCAAGCCTAAGCCTAAGCCCAAGCCCCCTAAGCCTAAGCCTAAGCCTAAGCCTAAGCCTAAGCCTAAGCCCTAAGCCTAAGCCTCAAGCCTAAGCCTAAGCCTAAGCCTAAGCCTAAGCCTAAGCCTGCTGCCTAAGCCTAAGCTCTCAGCCTCAAGCCTAAGCCTAAGCCCTAAGCTCTAAGCCTGCTTCAAGCCCTAAGCCTAAGCCTAAGCCTCAAGCCTAAGCCTAAGCCCTAAGCCTAAGCCTAAGCCCAAGCTCTCAAGCCTAAGCCCTAAGCCTAAGCCTAAGCCTCCAAGCCTAAGCCTAAGCCCTAAGCCTAAGCCTAAGCCTAAGCCTAAGCCTAAGCCTAAGCCTAAGCCTAAGCCTAAGCCTAAGCCCAAGCCTAAGCCTAAGCCTAAGCCTAAGCCTAAGCCTAAGCCTAAGCCTAAGCCTAAGCCTAAGCCTAAGCCTAAGCCTAAGCCTAAGCCTAAGCCTAAGCCTAAGCCTAAGCCTAAGCCTAAGCCTAAGCCTAAGCCTCCAAGCCTAAGCCTAAGCCTAAGCCTAAGCCTAAGCCTAAGCCTAAGCCCTAAGCCTAAGCCTAAGCCTAAGCCTAAGCCTAAGCCTAAGCCTAAGCCTAAGCCTAAGCCCTAAGCCTAAGCCTAAGCCTAAGCCTAAGCCTAAGCCTAAGCCTCAAGCCTAAGCCTCAAGCCTAAGCCTAAGCCTAAGCCTAAGCCTAAGCCTAAGCCTAAGCCTAAGCCTAAGCCCTAAGCCTCAAGCCTAAGCCTAAGCCTAAGCCTAAGCCTAAGCCTAAGCCTAAGCCTAAGCCTAAGCCTAAGCCTAAGCCTAAGCCTAAGCCTAAGCCTAAGCCTAAGCCTAAGCCTAAGCCTAAGCCTAAGCCTAAGCCTAAGCCTAAGCCTAAGCCTAAGCCTAAGCCTAAGCCTAAGCCCTAAGCCTAAGCCTAAGCCTAAGCCTAAGCCTAAGCCTAAGCTCTAAGCCTAAGCCTAAGCCTAAGCCTAAGCCTAAGCCTAAGCCTAAGCCTAAGCCTAAGCCTAAGCCTAAGCCTAAGCCTAAGCCTAAGCCTAAGCCTAAGCCTAAGCCTAAGCCTAAGCCTAAGCCTAAGCCTAAGCCTAAGCCTAAGCCTAAGCCCAGCCTGCTCAAGCCTAAGCCTAAGCCTAAGCCTAAGCCTAAGCCTAAGCCTAAGCCTCCAAGCCTGCGCCTCAAGCCTAAGCCTAAGCCTAAGCCTAAGCCTAAGCCTAAGCCCAAGCCTAAGCCCTAAGCCCTAAGCCCTAGCTAGCCTAAGCCTAAGCCTGAGCCTAAGCCTAAGCCCAAGCCTAAGCCTAAGCCTAAGCCTAAGCCTAAGCCTAAGCCTCAAGCCCAAGCCTAAGCTCTAAGCCCAAGCCTAAGCCTAAGCCTAAGCCTAAGCCCAAGCCTAAGCCTAAGCCTAAGCCTAAGCCTAAGCCTAAGCCTAAGCCTAAGCCTAAGCCTAAGCCTAAGCCTAAGCCTAAGCCCTAAGCCTAAGCCTACGCCTAAGCCTAAGCCTAAGCCTAAGCCTAAGCCTAAGCCTAAGCCTAAGCCCAAGCCTAAGCCTAAGCCCAAGCCTAAGCCTAAGCCTAAGCCTAAGCCTAAGCCTAAGCCTAGCCTAAGCCTAAGCCTGCCCAGCCTAAGCCTAAGCCTAAGCCTAAGCCTAAGCCTAAGCCTAAGCCTAAGCCTAAGCCTAAGCCTAAGCCTAAGCCTAAGCCTAAGCCTAAGCCTAAGCCTAAGCCTAAGCCTAAGCCTAAGCCTAAGCCTAAGCCTAAGCCTAAGCCTAAGCCTAAGCCTCAAGCCTAAGCCTAAGCCTAAGCCTAAGCCTAAGCCTAAGCCTAAGCCTAAGCCTAAGCCTAAGCCTAAGCCTAAGCCTAAGCCTAAGCCTAAGCCTAAGCCTAAGCCCTAAGCCTAAGCCTAAGCCTAAGCCTAAGCCTAAGCCTAAGCCTAAGCCTAAGCCTGCCCAAGCCTAAGCCTAAGCCTAAGCCTAAGCCTAAGCCTAAGCCTAAGCCTAAGCCTAAGCCTAAGCCTAAGCCTAAGCCTAAGCCTACAAAGCCTAAGCCTAAGCCTAAGCCCTAAGCCTAAGCCTAAGCCTAAGCCTGGCCTAAGCCCAAGCCTAGCCCAAGCTCTAAGCCTAAGCCTAAGCCTAAGCCTAAGCCTAAGCCTAAGCCTAAGCCTAAGCCTAAGCCTAAGCCTAAGCCTAAGCCTAAGCCTAAGCCTAAGCCTAAGCCTAAGCCTAAGCCTAAGCCTGGCCTAAGCCTAAGCCTAAGCCTAGGCCTAAGCCTAAGCCTAAGCCTAAGCCTAAGCCTAAGCCTAAGCCTAAGCCTAAGCCTAAGCCTAAGCCTAAGCCTAAGCCTAAGCCTAGCTCAGCCTAAGCCTAAGCCTAAGCCTAAGCCTAAGCCTAAGCCTAAGCCTAAGCCTAAGCCTAAGCCTAAGCCTAAGCCTAAGCCTAAGCCTAAGCCTAAGCCTAAGCCTAAGCCTAAGCCTAAGCCTAAGCCTAAGCCTAAGCCTAAGCCTAAGCCTAAGCCTAAGCCTAAGCCTAAGCCTAAGCCTAAGCCTAAGCCTAAGCCTAAGCCTAAGCCTAAGCCTAAGCCTAAGCCTAAGCCTAAGCCTAAGCCTAAGCCTAAGCCTAAGCCTAAGCCTAAGCCTAAGCCTAAGCCTAAGCCTAAGCCTAAGCCTAAGCCTAAGCCTAAGCCTAAGCCTAAGCCTAAGCCTAAGCCTAAGCCTAAGCCTAAGCCTAAGCCTAAGCCTAAGCCTAAGCCTAAGCCTAAGCCTAAGCCTAAGCCTAAGCCTAAGCCTAAGCCTAAGCCTAAGCCTAAGCCTAAGCCTAAGCCTAAGCCTAAGCCTAAGCCTAAGCCTAAGCCTAAGCCTAAGCCTAAGCCTAAGCCTAAGCCTAAGCCTAAGCCTAAGCCTAAGCCTAAGCCTAAGCCTAAGCCTAAGCCTAAGCCTAAGCCTAAGCCTAAGCCTAAGCCTAAGCCTAAGCCTAAGCCTAAGCCTAAGCCTAAGCCTAAGCCTAAGCCTAAGCCTAAGCCTAAGCCTAAGCCTAAGCCTAAGCCTAAGCCTAAGCCTAAGCCTAAGCCTAAGCCTAAGCCTAAGCCTAAGCCTAAGCCTAAGCCTAAGCCTAAGCCTAAGCCTAAGCCTAAGCCTAAGCCTAAGCCTAAGCCTAAGCCTAAGCCTAAGCCTAAGCCTAAGCCTAAGCCTAAGCCTAAGCCTAAGCCTAAGCCTAAGCCTAAGCCTAAGCCTAAGCCTAAGCCTAAGCCTAAGCCTAAGCCTAAGCCTAAGCCTAAGCCTAAGCCTAAGCCTAAGCCTAAGCCTAAGCCTAAGCCTAAGCCTAAGCCTAAGCCTAAGCCTAAGCCTAAGCCTAAGCCTAAGCCTAAGCCTAAGCCTAAGCCTAAGCCTAAGCCTAAGCCTAAGCCTAAGCCTAAGCCTAAGCCTAAGCCTAAGCCTAAGCCTAAGCCTAAGCCTAAGCCTAAGCCTGCCCAAGCCTAAGCCTAAGCCTAAGCCTAAGCCTAAGCCTAAGCCTAAGCCTAAGCCTAAGCCTAAGCCTAAGCCTAAGCCTAAGCCTAAGCCCTAAGCCTAAGCCTACAGCCTAAGCCTAAGCCTAAGCCTAAGCCTAAGCCTAAGCCTAAGCCTAAGCCTAAGCCTAAGCCTAAGCCTAAGCCTAAGCCTAAGCCTAAGCCTAGCCTAAGCCTAAGCCTAAGCCTAAGCCTAAGCCTAAGCCTAAGCCTAAGCCTAAGCCTAAGCCTAAGCCTAAGCCTAAGCCTAAGCCTAAGCCTAAGCCTAAGCCTAAGCCTAAGCCTAAGCCTAAGCCTAAGCCTAAGCCTAAGCCTAAGCCTAAGCCTAAGCCTAAGCCTAAGCCTAAGCCTAAGCCTAAGCCTAAGCCTAAGCCTAAGCCTAAGCCTAAGCCTAAGCCTAAGCCTGCTAAGCCTAAGCCTAAGCCTAAGCCTAAGCCTAAGCCTAAGCCTAAGCCTAAGCCTAAGCCTAAGCCTAAGCCTAAGCCTAAGCCTAAGCCTAAGCCTAGCCTAAGCCTAAGCCTAAGCCTAAGCCTAAGCCTAAGCCTAAGCCTAAGCCTAAGCCTAAGCCTAAGCCCTAAGCCTAAGCCTAAGCCTAAGCCTAAGCCTAAGCCTAAGCCTAAGCCTAAGCCTAAGCCTAAGCCTAAGCCTCAAGCCTAAGCCTAAGCCTAAGCCTAAGCCTAAGCCTAAGCCTAAGCCTAAGCCTAAGCCTAAGCCTAAGCCTAAGCCTAAGCCTAAGCCTAAGCCTAAGCCTAAGCCTAAGCCTAAGCCTAAGCCTAAGCCTAAGCCTAAGCCTAAGCCTAAGCCTAAGCCTAAGCCTAAGCCTAAGCCTAAGCCTAAGCCTAAGCCTAAGCCTAAGCCTAAGCCTAAGCCTAAGCCTAAGCCTAAGCCTAAGCCTAAGCCTAAGCCTAAGCCTAAGCCTAAGCCTAAGCCTAAGCCTAAGCCTAAGCCTAAGCCTAAGCCTAAGCCTAAGCCTAAGCCTAAGCCTAAGCCTAAGCCTAAGCCTAAGCCTAAGCCTAAGCCTAAGCCTAAGCCTAAGCCTAAGCCTAAGCCTAAGCCTAAGCCTAAGCCCAAGCCTAAGCCTAAGCCTAAGCCTAAGCCTAGGCCTAAGCCTAAGCCTAGCTCAAGCCTAAGCCTAAGCCTAAGCCTAAGCCTAAGCCTAAGCCTAAGCCTAAGCCTAAGCCTAAGCCTAAGCCTAAGCCTAAGCCTAAGCCTAAGCCTAAGCCTAAGCCTAAGCCGAAGCCTAAGCCTAAGCCTAAGCCTAAGCCTAAGCCTAAGCCTAAGCCTAAGCCTAAGCCTAAGCCTAAGCCTAAGCCTAAGCCTAAGCCTAAGCCTAAGCCTAAGCCTAAGCCTAAGCCTAAGCCTAAGCCTAAGCCTAAGCCTAAGCCTAAGCCTAAGCCTAAGCCTAAGCCTAAGCCTAAGCCTAAGCCTAAGCCTAAGCCTAAGCCTAAGCCTAAGCCTAAGCCTAAGCCTAAGCCTAAGCCTAAGCCTAAGCCTAAGCCTAAGCCTAAGCCTAAGCCTAAGCCTAAGCCTAAGCCTAAGCCTAAGCCTAAGCCTAAGCCTAAGCCTAAGCCTAAGCCTAAGCCTAAGCCTAAGCCTAAGCCTAAGCCTAAGCCTAAGCCTAAGCCTAAGCCTAAGCCTAAGCCTAAGCCTAAGCCTAAGCCTAAGCCCTAAGCCTAAGCCTAAGCCTAAGCCTAAGCCTAAGCCTAAGCCTAAGCCTAAGCCTAAGCCTAAGCCTAAGCCTAAGCCCTAAGCCTAAGCCTAAGCCTAAGCCTAAGCCTAAGCCTAAGCCTAAGCCTAAGCCTAAGCCTAAGCCTAAGCCTAAGCCTAGCCTAAGCCTAAGCCTAAGCCTAAGCCTAAGCCTAAGCCTAAGCCTAAGCCTAAGCCTAAGCCTAAGCCTAAGCCCTAAGCCTAAGCCTAAGCCTAAGCCTAAGCCTAAGCCTAAGCCTAAGCCTAAGCCTAAGCCTAAGCCTAAGCCTAAGCCTAAGCCTAAGCCTAAGCCTAAGCCTGCCCAAGCCTAAGCCTAAGCCTAAGCCTAAGCCTAAGCCTAAGCCTAAGCCTAAGCCTAAGCCTAAGCCTAAGCCTAAGCCTAAGCCTGACCTAAGCCTAAGCCTAAGCCTAAGCCTAAGCCTAAGCCTAAGCCTAAGCCTAAGCCTAAGCCTAGCCTAGCCTAAGCCTAAGCCCTAAGCCTAAGCCTAAGCCTAAGCCTAAGCCTAAGCCTAAGCCTAAGCCTAAGCCTAAGCCTAAGCCTAAGCCTAAGCCTAAGCCTAAGCCTAAGCCTAAGCCTAAGCCTAAGCCTAAGCCTAAGCCTAAGCCTAAGCCTAAGCCTAAGCCTAAGCCTAAGCCTAAGCCTTAAGCCTAAGCCTAAGCCTAAGCCTAAGCCTAAGCCTAAGCCTAAGCCTAAGCCTAAGCCTAAGCCTAAGCCTAAGCCTAAGCCTAAGCCTAAGCCTAAGCCTAAGCCTAAGCCTAAGCCTAAGCCTAAGCCTAAGCCTAAGCCTAAGCCTAAGCCTAAGCCTAAGCCTAAGCCTAAGCCTAAGCCTAAGCCTAAGCCTAAGCCTAAGCCTAAGCCTAAGCCTAAGCCTAAGCCTAAGCCTAAGCCTAAGCCTAAGCCTAAGCCTGCCTAAGCCTAAGCCTAAGCCTAAGCCTAAGCCTAAGCCTAAGCCTAAGCCTAAGCCTAAGCCTAAGCCTAAGCCTAAGCCTAAGCCTAAGCCTAAGCCTAAGCCTAAGCCTAAGCCTAAGCCTAAGCCTAAGCCTAAGCCTAAGCCTAAGCCTAAGCCTAAGCCTAAGCCTAAGCCTAAGCCTAAGCCTAAGCCTAAGCCTAAGCCTAAGCCTAAGCCTAAGCCCTAAGCCTAAGCCTAAGCCTAAGCCTAAGCCTAAGCCTAAGCCTAAGCCTAAGCCTAAGCCTAAGCCTAAGCCCTAAGCCTAAGCCTAAGCCTAAGCCTAAGCCCAAGCCTAAGCCTAAGCCTAAGCCTAAGCCTAAGCCTAAGCCTAAGCCTAAGCCTAAGCCTAAGCCTAAGCCTAAGCCTAAGCCTAAGCCTAAGCCTAAGCCTAAGCCTGCTAAGCCTAAGCCTAAGCCTAAGCCTAAGCCTAAGCCTAAGCCTAAGCCTAAGCCTAAGCCTAAGCCTAAGCCTAAGCCTAAGCCTAAGCCTAAGCCTAAGCCTAAGCCTAAGCCTAAGCCTAAGCCTAAGCCTAAGCCTAAGCCTAAGCCTAAGCCTAAGCCTAAGCCTAAGCCTAAGCCTAAGCCTAAGCCTAAGCCTAAGCCTAAGCCTAAGCCTAAGCCTAAGCCTAAGCCTAAGCCTAAGCCTAAGCCTAAGCCTAAGCCTAAGCCTAAGCCTAAGCCTAAGCCTAAGCCTAAGCCTAAGCCTAAGCCTAAGCCTAAGCCTAAGCCTAAGCCTAAGCCTAAGCCTAAGCCTAAGCCTAAGCCTAAGCCTAAGCCTAAGCCTAAGCCTAAGCCTAAGCCTAAGCCTAAGCCTAAGCCTAAGCCTAAGCCTAAGCCTAAGCCTAAGCCTAAGCCTAAGCCTAAGCCTAAGCCTAAGCCTAAGCCTAAGCCTAAGCCTAAGCCTAAGCCTAAGCCTAAGCCTAAGCCTAAGCCTAAGCCTAAGCCTAAGCCTAAGCCTAAGCCTAAGCCTAAGCCTAAGCCTAAGCCTAAGCCTAAGCCTAAGCCTAAGCCTAAGCCTAAGCCTAAGCCTAAGCCTAAGCCTAAGCCTAAGCCTAAGCCTAAGCCTAAGCCTAAGCCTAAGCCTAAGCCTAAGCCTAAGCCTAAGCCTAAGCCTAAGCCTAAGCCTAAGCCTAAGCCTAAGCCTAAGCCTAAGCCTAAGCCTAAGCCTAAGCCTAAGCCTAAGCCTAAGCCTAAGCCTAAGCCTAAGCCTAAGCCTAAGCCTAAGCCTAAGCCTAAGCCTAAGCCTAAGCCTAAGCCTAAGCCTAAGCCTAAGCCTAAGCCTAAGCCTAAGCCTAAGCCTAAGCCTAAGCCTAAGCCTAAGCCTAAGCCTAAGCCTAAGCCTAAGCCTAAGCCTAAGCCTAAGCCTAAGCCTAAGCCTAAGCCTAAGCCTAAGCCTAAGCCTAAGCCTAAGCCTAAGCCTAAGCCTAAGCCTAAGCCTAAGCCTAAGCCTAAGCCTAAGCCTAAGCCTAAGCCTAAGCCTAAGCCTAAGCCTAAGCCTAAGCCTAAGCCTAAGCCTAAGCCTAAGCCTAAGCCTAAGCCTAAGCCTAAGCCTAAGCCTAAGCCTAAGCCTAAGCCTAAGCCTAAGCCTAAGCCCAAGCCTAAGCCTAAGCCTCAAGCCTAAGCCTAAGCCTAAGCCTAAGCCTAAGCCTAAGCCTAAGCCCAAGCCTAAGCCCAAGCCTAAGCCTAAGCCTAAGCCTAAGCCTAAGCCTAAGCCTAAGCCTAAGCCTAAGCCTAAGCCTAAGCCTAAGCCCAAGCCTAAGCCCAAGCCCAAGCCCAAGCCTAAGCCTAAGCCTAAGCCCAAGCCTAAGCCTAAGCCTAAGCCTAAGCCTAAGCCTAAGCCTAAGCCTAAGCCTAAGCCTAAGCCCAAGCCTAAGCCCTAAGCCTAAGCCTAAGCCTAAGCCTAAGCCTAAGCCTAAGCCTAAGCCTAAGCCTAAGCCTAAGCCTAAGCCCAAGCCTAAGCCTAAGCCTCAAGCCTAAGCCTAAGCCTAAGCCTAAGCCTAAGCCTAAGCCTAAGCCTAAGCCTAAGCCTAAGCCTAAGCCTAAGCCTAAGCCTAAGCCTAAGCCTAAGCCTAAGCCTAAGCCTAAGCCCAAGCCTAAGCCCAAGCCCAAGCCTAAGCCTAAGCCCAAGCCTAAGCCTAAGCCTAAGCCTAAGCCTAAGCCTAAGCCTAAGCCTAAGCCTAAGCCTAAGCCTAAGCCTAAGCCTGCCCTAAGCCTAAGCCTAAGCCTAAGCCTAAGCCTAAGCCTAAGCCTAAGCCTAAGCCTAAGCCTAAGCCTAAGCCTAAGCCTAAGCCTAAGCCTAAGCCTAAGCCTAAGCCTAA